TCTGTTCCTTGAGTGTCTTTCTTACAGTGACGTCATCTCAGCTACTCAGTCCTGTGGTCACACATTAGACCTTTATTTACCCATCATGCGACCCACCTGTAATCTCAGATCCAGACTTCACTTGCTCCCTGGTTACCCTCCTTCTGCCATCATTAGACCCATTAAATTTATTCATACAACCACTGATACTGCTCTCAGATCACAAGTTCTCACCCGCTTGAAGCAGCTTCCCCAGTCGCTCAGTGGTAAAGAATCCACCTGCCAATGCAGGAAACTTGGGTTCGATCCCTGGGTCAGGAAGATCCCCTGGAGGAGGAAATGGCATCCCACTCCAGTGTTGTTGCCTGGGAAATCCCATGCACAGAGGAGCCTGGAGGGCTGTAGTCATGGGGTCTCAGAGCGTCGGACAGAACTGAGCACACACACACGTACCCTCTTGAGCGCCTGTTTTCTTCCCCAACCAGTGTAAATTTTCCCGGTCAATCACTGTAGTACTTCACCACACATACCCTTGTTCTCTTGCCCCCTTTTGCTTTATTCCCCTGTCCTCTTTTGTTTAACACAGCCGTGACCCTGCTTAAGTCTGGTGCTTCCTCGCCGTTACTTAGGTAGCAAAGGGGGGCTCTAGGCATCACTGATTGGGCTGCTCGGGACGTGCACCCGCTCCGCTCTCAAGCGCATCCCTTTGCTGGTTGGTGATCTCACCTCTGTGTCCTCATCCAGTCCCTCTCCAGCTCTGCCTAAGGATGGGGTGGCCCCAATCTCAGACCCACAACTCTTCCTCCCAGGGCCTACTTTGAGTGGAATGTCCATACTTGGTACTTTACTGAAAAAATTGGACTTCTGAAATATGAACACACATACTGACTTACAAATTTTTCTTGATGTGTTTGGGTGAGTTATTTATCCTACTTTGGTTATTTTGGGTTCTTATATCAGCAATTTAATGTATTTCATTGGTCTGGACTTTACTGGGCCTTTATATCAAATCCTGCCTCTGCCCCATTCTTTCCTGAGACTTCAGTGTAAAATCTTCTCCCTTTCTCTCTTAACATCTCTTCGGCATTTTCTGTGCTGCCTCCCAGGTAACTTTTTGTTTCTATTCCATTTTCCCTATATACTCTTTATTTCTGTGTGATCTTACTACTAAACATTAGTTCTTTATTTCTTTAAACAAAGTAAGCTTAATTTTATCGTATAGGTTCAGTAGTTCTGGCATCTTGAAGTCTTCGGTGGGTATTGGTCTGTGTCCGGTCAGGAAGACAGAATGCACTGAGATGTTTCAAGCAGAGAAGGGCTTAGTGAAGTGTTTGATTGTGAAAGTGCTAGAAGGGTTCAGGGAGAAGGACTGGACTGGTGGGGGCATGGCTGCTGCCACCTTGAACTTTCCTGCAGCTGTGGTTGCCTGCCTCTGCTCTTTCCCACTCCCTCCTCATTTCCCCTCAGAGCAACCTAACGAGGTTCCAGCTGGCAAGGTGTCTTATGTATGTAGTCTTCAGACCTCTAACCCTCTGCAGCAGAGGCAGGAAAGCCCAGAATGCCCACAGACAGGATCTGGAACCGGGTAGATGCCATCTGTTGTTTTTGCTGTTGGTTCTTGCGCCTGAAGTCGTGTCTATCTTTGCGCGCTTGGATATTTTTGGATACTGGCATTTCAGGATTAATTGGAATAATTTGAACCCTTGTGTCTTTTCATGTGCTTGTCAGATCCCTGGGAGACCTACCTGTCTGGAATATGAGGTTATAAAATCACCTGAATACCAGAACTTTCTCATGGCTCATCCTGGTAGAAATTATGATCTTAAATTGTCTGGAGATCTAGCTCTTCACTTTAGTAATGATTGAATATCAGTGCTGCAGTTCATTCATCAAGTTTAGCAGATATTTGAGCTCCTTTGTGCTAGATGCTGGGTTTTAAGTCTGTGAAGAGAAACCAATTTGGGGGTAGTTATACTTACGGGGGATACAAATTAAGTCTAGTCTAGTGTTGGAAAGTGAAATGCTTTGTGGATAAATAGAGCAAGAAAGGAGCAGCTGGGAGTACCATGGAGGATTACAGCTGTCACTGAAAAGGTGGCATTTGAATGCAGTGAGCCAGTAGGATGTCAGCGGAGCAGGGCCAGTGCAGAGGCCCCGGAAGAGCTGAGGAAGGAGGCTGGTGGGACTGAATCAGGTCCTTCCCAGGACCTTGGTTTCAACACTGAGGTGATGGAGCGAGTGCAGAGGGATGAAATGGTCCGACTTCTGTTGGAAGAGGCTCACTCGCTGCTGTGTTGGTTGGAGTGCATTGTCTTTCTAATAAAGTGAAAAGTTATTTGGGGTTGCATTAGCAGATGATCTCTACATGTTTATGTTTACTCAGGAGTTTTTAGCACCTACCAAAAGCATGGTAGGCTATGAAAATAAAAGTATTAGTCACTTATTCGTGTTTAACTCTTTTCAACCCAATGGACTGTAGCCCGCCAGGCTCCTTTGTCCATGGGATTCTCCAGGCAAGAACACTGTAGTGGGTAGCCAGCCCCTTCTTCAGGGGATCTTCTCAACCCAGGGATTGATCCTGCATTGTAAGCAGATTCTTTACTGTCTGAGCTACCATAACCAAGGAAATATAATGGTGGTGGCCTTCTAGAATCTGAAGCAAATTTTATTTACTGTATGTAGCAGTTTATTTATAAATAGCCAATTTTCTGCAATCTGATGCCTTATGTATATAATGATCAACCAAGGCAGTTAGCATTAAGATCTTAAAATTATTCTCCATGTCACTTTTTAGTATGATTAACTAAAGCATCTGATTTATAGCTCTCATCTCATTTTTTTCCTTTCTCACCAAGAAAACTTTTTTGTTGTTGTTTTGACCACACTGCACAGCTTGTGGGATTTTAGTTCCCTGACCAGGGATTGAACCCTGGTCCTCGGCAGTGAGAGCATGGAGTCCTAACCACTGGACCACCAGGAAATTCTCTCACCCAGAAAACTTTAAATAATTACATATATGTAAAGTAGAATATATATTTATTTTCATCTACTGTGAAGCTATTTTGACTGCCATAGTTGTTTCATAAAGAGAGCTGCCCTGAGTCTTGAAGTACCATTTGTAAATTTCCTGAAAAGTTTTTATATCTCTCTGTCCTAGAAGAGGGCTGGAGACCATTGCTAACTATGCATTCCTCAGTTATACTTTTGACTTAGAAGTGTTTTGACATTCTCTAGGTATAAATGGAGGAGAATTAGTGTGTAATTTAGTCCCTGAATAATCAGTCTGGTGCTTTAATAGAAATGTATGTGGGAAGAGGAAATACAGGGTTTCCCTTTAATTTCATTTATTTCCACATTTTTTTTAAGTTGAATTTAATTAAAATGGGCCAGCCAGATGTCTAAGTCAGTTAACAGCTCATAAGAACATACAAGCAGTTCAGACAACTCTTTCAGGTCCTTGTTATAGTAGTTATTCATTTGGATATTTTGCTGTTTTACTTATTGAGAAATGGATGTAGAAAAGTCATCAGGATATAAATGTACAGCTCAGCAAATTATCTTAAAACCCTACCCTTTATATGTTAATGGTGCAAATATAAAATGGTGCAGCCACTTTAAAAAAGCAGTTTGGCAGTTTCTCAAAAAGGTAGATAGAGTTACCATATGACCCAGTAATTCTGCTTCTAGATATAGATCCAAAGGAATTAAACATGTCTACACAAAACATATACAAGTGTTCTTAGCAGCATATTAATAATAACCAAAAAATGGAAACACGTCAAAGGTCCCTCATCTGATGATAGATAATTAGCATATGGTATATTCATACAATGGAATATCATTCGGCCATAAGAGGGAATGACGTACTATACATGCTACAAAGTGAATGGACCTTGAAAACACACCAAGTGTTAATAAAAGAAACCAGTCACAAAAGGTCACGTGATTCTGTTTGCATTACATATCTGGAATAGACAGGTCCATAGAGACAAGCAGGTCAGTGGCTGCTCGGGTGATGGGTAGGGTGGGGGCATAGGGAGTGGCTGCTAGGGGTCTGAGAATTCTTTCTGAGGTGCTGAGAATGTCTTGGAATTAGATAGCAGTGAAGACTGCACAGCTCTGAATATACTGAAAGCCACTGAGTCATGCATTTTATAAGGGTGAATTTTGTGGTGTGTAAAAGAGCCGATTTTTTTAAAAAAGGCAAACCAAATACATCCATATGTGTTTAACCACCCAAGTTAACAGAATATAGACAGTACCCCAGAAGATTCCCCCCACCCCCTCCTGATCAATGCCCCAAGTTATTCTTGGGGGAAAAAAATAGCAGCTGTTTATACTGCTACTGTTTGCTTCTCAGAAGAAGCCATTGTTTTAGACTCTGAGTGTGAAGCTTTATGCTCTCAGCACTTGGCTAAGCCTAGTAGGGAACTTTTTATAAAGTACCATTTTAATCAAATGCTTCTTTGTAATTTCATGGTGCCAGGGCGACCTACCTTTCAAAACAGGTGGCTGCGTACTTTTGCTCTTTTTTAATAGAATGAGTTTTAAATTTTTAAAGAATTATTTGACATAACTTTTTTTTTTTTAGTACCAGATATATTATTAGCCTGATCTCTTTATCAGTAGTTTGGAGTTTATTAACTATTAAATACTGCTTACTTTAAATATTTCTTGTTTTAATGCTTTTGACTAATTATAGCCACCCACCCCTCTCTCTCCCACTAGAGATACGGGTTACTGAAGCTATCTTTTGGGGGAGCCAGATTAGCATTAATAGTTCTTTTATTCTACATATGGGGGGGCGACTTAGTGGCATGCAGGATTTAGTTCCTTAACTGGGGATCCGAACCCGTGCCCCCTGCAGTGGAAGTGCCAAACCCTTACCACTAGACCACAGGGAAGTCCCTCTTGATAATATCTGTGATCTTAAATTTTAAAAGAAACTACCCTTAAATACTTCTGTATGTTTTTACATATTTTAAACCCAGAGTAAGGTCAGTGTTGCTTTTTCTTTTCAGCGATGTCTTGGCATTGCCCATTTTCAAGCAGGAAGATTCTAGCCTTCCGCTGGATGACGAGACCAAACACCCCCCCTTCCAGTATGTGATGTGTGCCGCGACATCGCCCGCCGTGAAGCTGCACGACGAGACGCTCACATACTTGAACCAAGGTCGGTATGGCTGTGTCACACTCTGACCTAAGAGTTCACAGAAATCCAAAACGGCATTTTGGCATCGCAGCCTGGATTAATGGTAATAATTGAAAATTAGGTTCCTTCTCTCAGACAACTTCAGTTAACAAAAACTGTAGAACGTTTTACTGTGAGCCAGCAAAGCAATAGTTTGTGGAAAGTGATTTCATACAGAGGGTGTGGACCAAGATGTGTTATGGGGTGTTTCCAAGACAAAATGCGAAGGAGAAGCAGGTAGGAAGGGATGTCAGTTATTTTTAGGAACATGGTTTCAGTGTGGAACCTGAGAATGAATCTGAAGTCCAGCTAGCAAGGGACTTGGTCTCGGGCATGAAGCAGATTTGTGCTGAGAATAGCCTGCACCAAGGTGGAGTCTGTGGCTAAAATAAGCTGTGTCAAATCTTGTTTCCGCTTAATGAGAAGGCTCTGTTTTGCTGATTTGAAAGTGAGAGTGGGCAGAATAGAAAATGGAGATATGGGGTGGTCTACCAGAGTTTCTTTCTGTGGTACGCTGAGCAGTCGGAGCACTGCCCAGTGTGACTTAGCAGTGTTAACAGGAGTACTGGGTGACGCAGGAATTCGCATGTTGGGTGTCTGCGTTTGTTGGGTACTGAGAGCTTGAGGCACTCTTCTTTTCTGTTGGTTCTTTGCTGCTGTGCGGGCTTTTCCGTGCTCACGGCGGGCAGGGGCTGCTCCCTAGCGCAGTGCAGCGCTCTCTGCGGTGGCTTCTCTTGCTGGCGAGCACGGGCCGGAGGGCCTCCGGGCTCCAGGAGTTGTGCTCCCTCGGCTCGGGAGCACGGGCCCTGCAGCCGTGGAGCGCGGTCCCAGCTGCCTTGCGGCGTGTGAGGCCTTCCTGGACCAGAGGGCGGGCCTGTGTCTCCTGCGTTGGCAGGCTCCTTCTTCGGCACTGAGCCAACGCGGAAGTCCTGGGCTCTTGTTCTTAAAAAGAGCTGAACGTTTTTGTTGTTACAAAACTAGTACATGCTCATTGTAGAAAACCTGAATATGTCAAGGGATAAAGCTGAAACTGGACTCTGGTTGGCATCCCCCTCAAGAAAAGCAGTTACATCCTAGGTGTGTTTCTTTGTGTGTGTATCTATTTTATTTCAGCAAAATGGGAACTAACATCTCTTCACGTAAGGGTTGGGCTTCCCTGGTACCTCAGCTGGTAAAGAATCTGCCTGCAATGCGGGAGACACCAGTTCGATTCCTGGGTTGGGAAGATGCCCTGAAGAAGGGTTAGGCTACCCACTCCAGTATTCTTGGGCTTCCCTGGTACCTCAGCTGGTAAAGAATCTGCCTGCAATGCAGGAGACCTGCATTTGATCCCTCGGTTGGAAAGATCCCCTGGTGGAGGAAACAGCTACCCACTCCAGGGTTCTGGCCTGAAGAATTCTATGGACTATATAGTCCATGGGGTCGCAAAGAGTTGAACACGACTGAGTGACTTTCACTTGAGTATTTTGTGATTGCTTTTCTGTCAGTAAATAAAATCTTTAATTCCTCAAACTTTTGGAAAGAAGTATAGATTTTAGACTACTTTAGTTAGTGATTATTGTAAAATGTAGAAGAAAAACTTTTTTTAAGCTGAATTTTCATTTGACATACATATTTAGGATTTATGAGGTTTTTCTTCAGGTAATTCTAATCTGTAGCCTATGGCGATACTCTTAATTTTGGTATTAATATTATTTTAGGATTTTGATGGGTAGGCATTCAGTTATTTGAGACTTAAGTTTCTTTTTTTTTTTTTCATTTATTTTTATTAGTTGGAGGCTAATTACTTTACAGTATTGTACTGGTTTTTGCCATACATTGACATGAATCAGCCATGGATTTACATGTGCTCCCCATCCTGATTCCCCCCCCCCCCCACCACCTCCCTCCCCATCCCATCCCTCTGGGTCTTCCCAGTGCACCAGCCCCAAGCACTTGTCTCATGCATCCAACCTGGGCTGGTGATCTGTTTCACACTTGATAATATACATGTTTCAGTGCTATTATTTTAAAGAACCTTAATAGTTTATGCACTAATCTATTTTAGACATAAAAGATCAGAAGAAACAATGTTGAGGTGAGGACATTCATTATAGCTTAGTTTCTAATGAGAAAAAAGGAAATAGCCGGAATTTCTCTTACTTAGGGAATAGTTGAATAAGTTAATGTGCATACCATGGGATAAATGAGCACATGGAAACTCACCCTTCTATATAAAGAACTTTGGATGTATCTGTCTTTGGGCCTGGGGGAATATCCGTAACTTACGACTGTTATTATTAAACTGTATAAAGACATCTCACATTGATAAAAGTTGCAGTCCACCATCTGTAGTGATAATTTATTAAACCTACATTCACTGAGTGTTTACTGGACGTGAAGCAGTGTACTAAATACTATATATGCATTGTTTCTCTTCCACAGTAACCCAAGAAGTGTTATTGATCCATTACAGATTTTCAAAGCTGAAGCTTCAAGCAGTTGATAAACTCGCTCAGTGTTAATTTGGTCAAGCTTAGATATAAACAAATAAATTGTTTATTACTCAAATGGTTGTTATTATTGAAGTATCTATAGTAGTGTGCACAAGTCTTTTTTTTTTTTTTTTTTGCCTTACGTATTTTTTTTTCCATTTATTTTTATTAGTTGGAGGCTAATTACTTTACAACATTGCAGTGGTTTTTGTCATACATTGAAATGAATTAGCCATGGATTTACATGTATTCCCCATCCCGGTCCCCCCTCCCACCTCCCTCTCCACCCGATCCCTCTGGGTCTTCCCAGTGCACCAGGCCCGAGCACTTGTCTCATGCACCCAACCTGGGCTGGTGATCTGTTTCACCCTAGATAATATACATATTTCGATGCTGTTCTCTTGAAACATCCCACCCTCACCTTCTCCCACAGAGTCCACAAGTCTGTTCTATACATCTGAGTCTCTTTTTCTTTTTTGCACATAGGGTTATCGTTACCATCTTTCTAAATTCCATATGTATGTGTTAGTATACTGTAATGGTCTTTATTTTTCTGGCTTACTTCGCTCTGTATAATGGGCTCCAGTTTCATCCATCTCATTAGAACTGATTCAAATGAATTCTTTTTAATGGCTGAGTAATATTCCATGGTGTGTATGTACCATAGCTTCCTCATCCATTCGTCTGCTGATGGCCATCTAGGTTGCTTCCATGTCCTGGCTACTATAAACAGTGCTGCGATGAACATTGGGGTGCACGTGTCTCTTTCAGATCTGGTTTCCTCGGTGTGTATGCCCAGAAGTGGGATTGCTGGGTCATATGGCAGTTCTATTTCCAGCTTTTTAAGAAATCTCCACACTGTTTTCCATAGTGGCTGTACTAATTTGCATTCCCACCAACAGTGTAAGAGGGTTCCCTTTTCTCCACACCCTCTCCAGCATTTATTGCTTGTAGACTTTTGGATAGCAGCCATCCTGACTGGCGTGTAATGGTACCTCATTGTGGTTTTGATTTGCATTTCTCTGATAATGAGTGATGTTGAGCATCTTTTCATGTGTTTGTTAGCCATCTGTATGTCTTCCTTGGAGAAATGTCTGTTTAGTTCTTTGGCCCATTTTTTGATTGGGTCATTTATTTTTCTGGAGTTGAGCTGGAGGAGTTGCTTGTATATTTTTGAGATTAATCCTTTGTCTGTTGCTTCGTTTGCTATTATTTTCTCCCAATCTGAGGGCTGTCTTTTCACCTTGCTTATAGTTTCCTTTGTTGGTGCACATGTCTTTTGTAGCGTGGCATAGGATATCTTAGTTCCCTGACCAGGAATTGAATCTCTGCCTCCTGCAGTGGAAGCTCAGACCCCTAACCTCTGGACCGCTAAGGGAGTTAGTTCCCCACAAGTCTTAAATTTGTACCTCAATTAATTTGTACATAGCTTATTCCCTCAAAAATACTACCTCTGTCCAATATTTCCATTATCCTAGCAGTTTTCCTTCGGTCCTCCTCCTAGCTAACACCTGAGATTGACCATAATCCATATTAGAAGTGCAGGTGATTTTCTGGGACTTGACTCTGCTCCTTGCAGTATTAATGATGAGTATGTTATAGGTTATAGAATTGTGGTAATTTACCTCTTAATTTCTCCCAGCATTTTAAGAAAAAAAGTAGAAAAATGAATTGCATGTAGGCTGCATTTTTGAAAACATACATTTGAATAATCATTAAACATGCATTTGAGTAATCAAAGAAATTCTACTTTTATACACCCTTTTAAAGAAATTCTAACACTTAAAACTTAAGTGAATATCAGTTCTTTCACAGATTTGTCTCCTAACATTTATTGCCTAGCATAATATTTCATGTGAATCCCTTCAATTGTTTCCATAGTGGCTGCACCAATTTACATTCCCACCAGCAGTGTAGGAGGGTTCCCTTTTCTCCACACCCTCTCTAGCATTTGTTGATTGTAGACTTTTTGAAGCCATTCTGACTGGTGTGAAGTGGTACCTCATTATAGTTTTGCGTTGCATTTCTGTAATATTAGCTATGTTGAGCATCTTTTATGAAAGATGATTATACCTATTGGCCATCTGTATGTCTTCTTTGGAGAAATGTCTTTTAAGGTCTTCTGCCCAGTTTTCGATTGGGTTGTCTTTGTTGTTGGGTTGTATGAACTGTTTGTATGTTTTGGAGATTTGACCCCTGTTGGTTGCATTATTTGTAGCTATTTTCTCCCATTTCGTAGGTTGTCTTTTTGGAGTTTTTTTTTTTTGGAGTTTCCATTGCTGTGCAAAAACTTGTATGTTTGATTAGGTCCCCCGCCCCCTTTTTTTTTTTTTTTGCCTTGGGAGACCTAAGAAAACATTGGTATGATTTATGTCAAAGAATGTTTACCTATGTTCTCTTCTAGTTTTATGGTGTCATGCCTTACGTTTAAGTCTTTAAGCCATTTTGAGTTTATTTCCCTGCAGGTTGGGAGGTGTTTTCTAACTTCACTTCACTGATTTACACGCA